CATTGACATTAACATTATGACTAATTTCACCTTCTTCTTCTTCTTCTTCTTTGCCATTTCTATTATAAAAAGAACTGGAAAATCGATTATTATTATATCTCACTTCTCTTGCTAAAGGATATGACATTGTTGATGATAAATGTTGTTGTTGCTGTTGTTTATATGAAGAAGGGGGGGAGGATGATGATGAATTTCCATTAGCAGCCATTGGTGATCCATATATATTAACTGGACTAATCCCTCCCATATTTATAGGCGTGAAAGCTCCCAACGATGATGGTGATCTACCGTTAATATCATGATGATGATAAACCAACGGTGTACTTTCTTGAGATTTATAAGGTGAACTTAAAAATTCTTCCTCTTCTTGATAATCATACTCATTATTATCATAATCATAGTCACTATCGTAATTATAATTATCATCCATTGATTCATTATATCTTCTATGGCTATAACTACTATTGTCATCATAATCTGAATAATCTGAACATTCTCCGATTTGATAACAATTACCACTTCTGCCAACACAAGTACTATCATCACTGCCACTTGTACCGGCTTCTATACAAAAAAGACACTGACAACAAATAGGAAATGGTGATGAGGAATTTGTAGTTGAGTGATGGAAGTAGTATGGAGAGTAGGATGGATTTGAGATGGGAGAGTAGGATGGTGAATTTGTACCAGGTGGACTTATATGTTTAATTGACAAGAATAATTGTGGGCTACTAATAATATATTCTGGTGTGTTGTAGATTTGCAATGCTTGTTGTTGTTGTCTTAGTTCATCAGAATGTGACAATGGAGTTAACAGGTTATTATTATTATAGCGGTGGTGTACTCGTTCTAGGAGCCATCGTGGTAGCGGTGGTGATGATGGTGGTGGTGGTGGTGGTGAAGAGTAGTTGTAGTTATAAATATTATTTAAAGTGTTTCTTGGAGTGGTTTCTTCTCGGGTGTTATCATCATTTATGTTAAAGTTGACCGGTGAGGAAGTTTTTGAAATTGACATGTCTAAATTATATTATTATTATTCTTTTTTCGTTTGTCAGTCACCTTTAGAAAAAAAAATGTATTTTTATTATTTTTATTTGTTTTTAATTTTTTCAAAAAAGTTTTTTTTTTTTTTAAGGAGGGGAAAATCCAAGGTATTTTTACATTTTTTTTTTTTTTATTATAATTTTTTTTTTTTTTTTTATTATTTTTTTTTTTTTTTTTTTTTTTTTTTTTT